CCCAGCCTTTGAAAGCTCCAGGGGTAGCATCCCCCTAAGGCTTGATGGAAACCATTTTTTTTTCTTGCTGCAGTTCAAGCTCCTTTCTGCCTGATGGGTCTCTGGACCCTCAAGGCAGGATCAAGCTCTGTCTACACCATCCCTGACAGATGTCTATCTAACCTGTTCTTAAATATCTCCAGAGAGGGAGATTCCACCACCTCCCTTGGCAATTTATTCCAATATTTGACCACCCTGACAGTTAGGAATTTTTTCCTAATGTCCAATCTAAACCTCCCCTGCTGCACTTTAAGCCCATTACTCCTTGTCCTGTCCTCAGAAACCAAGAGGAACAAATTTTCTCCTTCCTCCTTGTGACACCCTTTTAGATATTTGAAAACCGCTATCATGTCCCCCCTTAATCTTCTTTTTTCCAAACTAAACAAGCCCAGTTCATGAAGCCTGGCTTCATAGGTCATGTTCTCTAAACCTTTAATCATTCTTGTCGCTCTTCTCTGTACCCTTTCCAATTTCTCCACATCTTTCTTGAAATGTGGCGCCCAGAACTGGACACAGTACTCCAGCTGAGGCCTAACTAGTGCAGAGTAGAGCGGCAGAATGACTTCACGAGTTTTGCTTACAACACACCTGTTGATACAACCTAGAATCATATTTGCTTTTTTTGCAACAGCATCACACTGTTGACTCATATTCAACTTGTGGTCCACTATGACCCCTAGATCCCTTTCCGCCATGCTCCTTCCTAGACAGTCGCTTCCCATCTTGTATGTATGGAACTGATTGTTCCTTCCTAAGTGGAGCACTTTGCATTTCTCTTTATTAAACCTCATCCTGTTTACCTCTGACCATTTCTCTAACTTGCTAAGGTCGTTTTGAATTATGTCCCTATCCTCCAAAGAAGTTGCAATCCCACCCAGTTTGGTATCATCTGCAAACTTAATAAGCGTACTCTCTATCCCAATATCTACATCATTGATGAAGATATTGAACAGTACGGGTCCCAAAACAGACCCTTGCGGAACTCCACTTGTTATCCCTTTCCAGCAGGATTTAGAACCGTTAACAACAACTCTCTGACTATGGTTATCCAGCCAATTATGCACCCACCTTATCGTGGCCCTATCTAAGTTATATTTGCCTAGTTTATCAATAAGAATATCATGCGAGACCGTATCAAATGCCTTACTAAAGTCTAGGTATATGACAACCACCGTTTCTCCCTTATCCACAAGGCTCGTTATCTTATCAAAGAAAGCTATCAGATTAGTTTTGTTGGGCTTGCTCCTCTCTAGCATCCCTTGATGCATCTGTGGGTGGTTCTCCTTCCACCAGTGTGAACCTCCTTCCTATGCTCTCAGCTCTTCCTCAGAGTCTAGTTTCCTAGAGATCCAGGCCAGAAGGGACCAGTGTCATCTTGTCCAACCTGTACAATGCAGGGTAATCTCCTTGGCACTCCCCAAACTTTAATCGGGCATCACTCCAGTTTATCCAGAACTGCACATAAGGCTGAACTGCCCTGTGTCCATCAGCTAGGCTTGGATGATCTCCTCGCTCTTCTTGTGTGTGATGGTCTGTCATACAGCCCAACCGGACAGTTCCATATTGCCATTTCTCCCACGGAGTCACCCGCACGTGCCACCGTGTCGTGGCTATCCGGGTTTTGTCTGAGTCACGATGCATGACGTTGTGTTCCGGGGTTTGTTTTTTCGCCTGTTCCTTCACTCCTGCGGGGCAGGCAGTCCTTTCGTTCAGTCCGTCTGAGTGTTTGGGGCCTTCCCGTCGTGATCAGCTGAGTTTGAGGGGGAGCCATGTTTGTCAGCAAAAATGGCAAATCCTGTGGCACCTTAAAGACTTAACACATTTCTCAACCTTTTTTTTATAAAGTACCCTCCCCCTTTAAAAAAAAAAAAAAATACCTACAGTACCTACAGTTTTCAGACAGACACCGGGTTTTTTTTTCTACCATTGCAATGCATTTGTTTAAACAACTTAATCATAAAGCCAGGCGGGCGAGGAAATTTATGGGTGTTAAAAGTACACCAATAATAAAGCGCTGTAACACTTAACACACACATTCAGTTTTCTCCACATTTCAGTTGTGTTGACGTACCCCCCCAGACTTCTCTCACGTACCCCTAAGGGGTACCACTGGTTGAGAAACACTGTATATGCTTTCGTGGGCGGGAATGCACTTTGTCAGATGCATGAAGTGAGCTGCAGCCCATGAAGGCTTCTGCCTGGATAAATGTGTTGTCTTTAAGGTGCCACAGGACTCCTTGTTGAGTTTCCTTAGGCTTTGCCTCGGAGCCCTCCCAGCTGTGCAGCTTAGGCCTCTGCTCTTGGATTGCTCCTTGGGAAGGGGGGGAAGGTAGTTGTATTTCTGTGCTGGTTCCCTTCCCTGTCTCTGGTGCAGTGCCATCTGCTCCGCGCCAGGCAGCTGACTTGCGTCCGGTTACACCGTGCGGCTTGGAACAAATGGCGAGTTAATTCGGCGGCGTAGCTTCTTCCAAAGCCCCTTCGCCCGGGCTCTGGCACGGCGGCGGAGGCTGGCGCGTGCCCTCGCCGGACCCAGGGGCCCGGCTGTGAAAGGAGATCTCTTCCCCATTTCGCAGCCTGGCCCGGAGCAGGCCTTGTCCGGCGATCCCCTGGCTCAGTGCATGGAGCCGCCCAGCGTTGCCTAGCAACAGGCTTCCCAGCAGCAGCTGTCAGCACATGGTGTGGAGCCCAGTAAATGGATCCTTTCCAAAATGGCGTGAAATGCGCCATGTGTGTTGGGCCTTCCCCCGGCGCCATCCCAGG